AGGTACGGCGATGGGGATGGGGACGGGGACAGGATGCCGTGCCTCTGCTGACCCCGCTGTGTGCCACAGTTTGTCGGTGTGGAGGGTTTCATCACGGGCATCCTGGACCTGTTCCCCCAGCCGGGGGCCGGCTCACTGCGCCGCGAGCTCACCGCCGCGCTCTGCTGCCTCGTCTGCTGCCTCATCGACCTCTCCATGGTGACACAGGTGGGGACGCGCAGGGACACGGGCCGGGGCCGGGTTGTGCCTTTCCATGGCATGGGCTGCCTGTGCCATCTGGGGGGGATGTGGCATTGGAGTGCCCTTGGCGTTGGGGATGTCTGTGGCATTTGAGGTGTCCGTGCTGTGTGGGGTGTCTGTGCCATTTGGGATGGCTGCGCCATTGGAGTGCCTGTGGCATTGGGCTGTCCGTGCCATTTAGAGAAAGAATCCACACTGTTTGGGATGTTGTCTGTGCCATTTGGGATGTTTGTGCCATTCTAAGTGTCCACGGCACTGCGGGGGTCTACGTGCCATTGGGGGTCCCCGTGCCATTTGGAATGCCAGTGCCATCTGTGGTCTCTGTGCTTGAGGTCCCTGTGCCATTCGGGTGCCCGTGCAGCAGGGACGCGCAGCACAGCCCGGTGACATGCTGTGCTGTCCCGCAGGGCGGCATGTACGTGTTCCAGCTGTTTGACAACTACTCGGCCAGCGGGATCACGCTGCTGTGGCAGGCCTTCTGGGAGTGCGTGGTCATCGCCTGGGTGTACGGTGAGGCCGTGGGATGGGGAGGGATGCGGGGACGGGCGCCCGTGGGACCCCGCTGACAACCCCATCCCCGCAGGCGCTGACCGCTTCATGGACGACGTGGCCCGCATGATCGGCTACCGGCCGCTGCCCCTCATGAAGTGGTGCTGGGCCGTGGTGACGCCGCTGGTCTGCGTGGTGAGCGGGGACGCGGTCGCGCGTGGGTCGGGGGCCACTCGGGCGCCCTCTCGTGGCCGCGTGCGCGATGCCCCGGGCGGCGCTCCGCGGGCTCCGGGCTCCCCCCGGCGGCGGCTGCGGGCACGGCGGTGTGGTGAGGGTGGGAGGCTCGAGCGGGGAACACGCGTGGGGACGGCCGTGGGAGCTCGCTGCCGCTCCGCACAGGGCATCTTCTTGTTCCACGTGGTGAACTACAAACCGCTGACGTACAACAAGACCTACGTGTACCCGTGGTGGGGCGATGCCATCGGCTGGGTCCTGGCACTCTCCTCCATGCTCTGCATCCCCTGCACCGTCATCTACAAGCTCCTGCGCTGCAAAGGCTCCTTGCGCGAGGTGAGACAGCACTGGCGACCCTTGTCCCTGTCCCCATCCGGATGTGAATCCATTCCCTGTCCTCTCTGGCATCTCCATCTCATCGCCTCACCTTGCCGTCTCAGTCCAATCCTGAGCTGAATCCCATCCTCATCCCCGTTGCCTTTTCCCCATCTCATCCCTGTCCCCATTGCCATCTCGCACAAAGCCCACCTTATCCGAATCTCATCCCTGCTCTATGGTTTTCTCTGTTCAAATCCCATCCTTGCCCCCATCCTTCTCTCTCTCTCAGCACCATCTCAGACCCCATCCCCACCCTGTGCCCTGCTACCGTGTCCCTCCCTCAGTCCCATTTCAATCCCTTCCCCAGCCCAATCCATATTCTATTCCTACCTTATGCCCATCCAAACTCCATCCGTGTCCCCATCTTCACCCACGTGCCATGTCCCGTGCCACGTCCCCGCTGCTGACCCCATGTCCCTGCAGCGCTGGCAGCTGCTGACCACGCCGATCTGGGGCCACCACCACCTGGAGTACCTGACGCCCGAGGCCGAAGCCAAACTGCTGGCCCCGGAGCCCCCCAAGGAGAAGACGACGCTCTTCGAGACTGTGATCTGAGCGTGGGGAGGGTCGCGCTGCTCCCGCCCGCCATAGCAATAATGCCAGCACCGCCTCCCACCCACGCAGCCCTGCCCCCGGGCCCCCCCTGCCGCGCTGCCCCAGCCTCGATGCAGGGAGCAGGGGGTGGTGGGAACCGCTCGGGGACACGGGGACGGGGCGGCCATGGGGGTCCCCAGCGCTGGGAGGGGGGTGTGGGACATGGGCAGTGGGTGGTGGGAGGGGGGGAAGCGAGTAGGACAGCCCCTCCCCGGCCTCCGTCCCTGTGCCCCGCTGTCCCCCCCCAACCCGGCCGGCCCGGCCAGTGGCACCTCGCTCACTAACCGCTTCTGTAGCGTTTGTCTGGTGTAACCCCAACCGCCCCGACATCTGGCAATAAACTGGGAGACCCTGGCACACCCCGGCTTGGGATTGCAGCACCTGGTTGGGAGGAGCTGGATGGGTGTGGTGGCACTGAGGGGCTGCGGAGAACCTCTCATTGCAGGGTTATAGGGGCAGCTGCTGCCCTGAGCCCAGCTGGCTGTGGGAGGGTTGTGGGGCTGAGAGTTGCCCAAACCCATGTCTGATGTGTGGCTGGGGGTGTCAGCGGTGTATGCTGCCCCAGGAGGTCCATGGGCATCCTGCTCTGCAGTGAAGTTAGGGATGTCCTCACCGTGAGGGACAAGGAGGGAACAGTGGCACTGTCTGCCCAAGCCATCCCTGCGTCATGCCTTGTCACACCACCACACCGTGTCATATGGCTCTGTTGTAACACCCTGTGCAGTGCCATGGTGGGTGATAAGTGGCCGAGCCATCCAGGTGGCCGTGCCGTGCCAGGTGGCCGCGCTGTGCTGTGCCAGGGGCTGCGCTGAGCTCCAGTGGGACTGGAGTGCAGTGGGGTCTCAGCCTGGGACACCGGTTGGTGCCACCGCTGCACCCTCTCACCCCACCACGGTGATCCAGCCATTCCGGCCCCACCGCCATCTCACACCATAATTAGTGCAGGCAGGGCGGAAGCACCCCTGCTAATTGCCGGTGACTCGTTAGCGCTGGAGCGCCATGTGCTTGGGGTGCGGCAGGACTATCCGGCAGGGCTGGTCTGCGGGCATCCCGCTGCGCCGTGCGGGTCTGCGGGGCCGTGGCAGGGCCCTCATGTCACGGCATGTCACAGCCCTGCGATAAAAGCGGCGGCTGCGGGGCGGCGTTGGGGCACGGCGGCAGAGACGGTGAGAGCAGAGGCAGCGGGACGGGGCAGGGAAGGGAACGGAACCGGGGAGAGGAGGAGCCGGGGCTCTCGGCCACGCAGCGCCATGAACAAGATCACGGTGTACGAGCGTGCTGACTTCGAGGGGTTGAGTCGTGAGTTCACCTGCGACGTGCCCGACCTGCATGAACTGGATTTCGGCGACTGCATCGCCTCGCTGAAGGTGGTGGGGCAGCCCTGGATCGCTTACACTCAGCCCAAGTACGAGGGCGAGCCGCACGTCTTCGAGGAGGGTGAGTACATGGCTGTGGAGCGGCCCAACAGCTTCTCGGCTCTGCGCCTGGTGCACCACGACCTGCTGGACCCACAGATCACCCTCTACGAGCGGCCCCACCTGCAGGGCGCCTGCAAGGTGGTCAGCGAGGAGACCAACTTGGCGTACGGGTACTTCAATGACCGCGTGGCCTCGCACATGGTGCAGCGCGGGGTCTGGCTGCTCTACCAGCACCCCAACCGCGGTGGCTGGCACTGCTTGGCGTGGCCCGGGGAGCGCGTGGACGACTATGGGGCGCAGCTGCACTTCCAGGCCCGGCTGTCCCACCTGCGCCCGCTGCGGCCCGGCCGCCCCACGGTCACCGCGCAGCTCCTGTGGGACCAGAAACGCATAGAGGCGGAGCGGGAGGTGCTGGTGGATGAGATCGTGGGGGTGAACGAGACCGAATCGGAGCAGGCGCTGGCGGCCGGCAGCACGCGGGAGTACAGCACGACGCTGTGGCAGAGCTTCCACTTCAGCAACGCCACCAGCCTGCGGGCCGGGCTCTCCTTCACGCTGGCCGTGGAGGCCAGCAACGTCTTCACGGTGCAGAAGGGCCGCAGCGAGTCGTGCACGCGGAGGGAGCGCAGCGAGGTGGCCCTGCCCGCCAAGGTCCCCCCGCGCACGCAGCTCACCGTCCACGTGCTGCGCAAGGAGGTGATGCTGTCGGTGCCCGTGCTGCTCACCATCACGCAGAACGAGGCGGTGCGCACCGAGATGGGGGAGTATCGCAGCGTGTCGGGCACCAACGTCTGCGCGCGGTTCAGCATGAGGCCGCTGCCCGCCGCGGGCACCAGTAAGGAGGAGCAGTCGGGGGCTGCGGCGGGCACTGAGCAGGCGCGCGGCGTGGGGATGGGGCGGGTGGTGGCCATAGGGACAAAGCCAGGGGATGACGTGGAGCAGGTACCCACCGGGTGCTGAGAGTGGCCGTGCCAATAAAGCCCTTTCTGAATTGCAGTGTTGGCAGCGGTGTTGAGGATGGGAGAGGGTATCCTGGGGTGCCACAGCCTGTGCACGGCGCTGTGGGGCAGCCACAGTGGATGGGTGTGGGCATAGAGGTCAGCTGGATGGCACTGGGGTGCGGGAGAGGACGTGGAAAGGGACGCGGGTGGCTGTGGGAACACAATGAGGGGGGACATGGGTGGCTGTGAAGGCATAAGACGGGTGCAAAGAAGAGAGAAGCGGTTGCGGGGACACAATGCAGAGGTCACAGGGGGCAGGGGTGTACGTGGGGACACAATCTGGGGATGAAGGGAGAAGACGGGTGGCCGTCTGAGGCATAAGGTGGACATGCGGGGCCGCAATACGCGTGCCCGCCGACGACAAAAGAGACCGAGCGCCGTCCTCAGGGGTCCGCCCGCCACCGCCCCCCGCAGCCCCGGGGCCGGCCCTGCCAGCCCCCGGCCCCGCCCCATGCCTGCCCCCCACGTGTCATCCGCGGGCAGCGGTCCCTTTAAATGATGCAACCGTCCTTCCGCCTGGCCACGCCCCCCTGCTCTCCGATTCGCGAAGCTTGCAAGGAGTTTCCTCACTCCATTGGCCGAAGGGAGGGACACTCTCCACTGATTGGCTCGTGGGGGAGAGCGGAGCGACGCGAGGCCCCGCCTCCGCAGGCGGGCAGCGGCAGCATGGCGGCGATGGCGGCGGAGGAGACGGAGGTGCTGAATTTGTTCACCGGCATCGGGCTGACCGAGGCCAAGGCCCGCGAGACGCTGCGCAACGCCGCGTTGAGCGCGCAGCTCCGCCAGGCCGTGCTGCAGGCCCGCGCCGCGCTGGGCTCAGGCCTGGATAAAGCCACCGGTGCTCTGCTGTACAATGCGGCCGCCCGGCTCCGCGACCCTGACCGCTTGGCCTTCGTGGTGGGGTACATCGGGCGGAGGGAGATCCGCACCGACCAGCAGTTGGGCGGTACGGAACGGGCTTGGGGGGGGAAGAGGAGGGGAGGAAATGGGAGGGGAAGCGGGGCAAGGTGCCGGGGGCCGGTGCTGAGCGCGCTGTGGCCGCAGCCGCCCTGCAGTACCTCCGCAGTCACCCGCTGGATCCGCTGGAAGCGGCCGACTTCGAGCGGGCGTGCGGCGTGGGGGTGCGGGTCAGCCCCGAGCAGATCGAGGAGGCGGTGAGTGGGGCCGTGGGGGGCGCGGAGAGGGACTGGAGGAACTGGGGGGTCGGGCTGTGCTCCCCGCTCAGCTCCCGGGTCCGCAGGTGGAGGCCGTGGTCAGCCGGCACCGGGAGGAGCTCCTGGCGGAGCGGTACCGCTTCAACACGGGGCTGCTGATGGGTGAGTGCAGGGCAGGGGGATGGAGTCGGGCCTGGGGGTCTTCTTGAAGCCCCCTGGGCCGCACCCCACGCTGTGTGCCCCAACAGCGGAGGCGCGGAGCCGGCTGCAGTGGGCAGATGGGAAGAGCATCAAGAACGAGGTGGATCTGCAGGTGGGTGCTGGGCTCTGTGGCACAACGTGCGTGCCCTGTGCTGCCCCGGGCACGGGACACCCTGTCAGACCACCTTCATTCCACTCAGGTGCTGCATTTGCTGGGACCAAAGACAGAAGCTGATCTGGAAAAGAAACCAAAGGTGATGCGGAAGGGCTGCGTGGTGATTCCTGAGTGGCTGCAGCTGCCATCACAGGACAGACAGCGCTATTGCTGGGGGGTGGGCAGGGCTGGAGGGAGGTGTGTGCACAGTGGGTGCTCAGGCTGCTGTGCTCGTCCCCATAGGCTGCCAAGGCCCGGCCAGCCCCAGTGGAAAAGCAGAAGGTGCTGGTGGTGGAGAATGGTGAGCGGCTCCATGGGAGCTTCCCCAGCCCTTTGGGCCCAGCAACCCCTGGGCTGTGGTCGGGCATCACCGCAATCAGTGCGAGTGCAGGCTGTCCCCTGTCCCACCGGGCAGTGCTGGCTCAGCCCTGTCTCTCCCCATAGGTGAGGTGGGCACGGAGACGAAGTCGCTGCTGGAGCAGCTGCGAGGAGAAGCTCTGAAATTCCACAAGCCGGGTGAGGGCAGCAGGCACTGCCTGCAGGCTGCCAGGCTGTGCCAGGCTTGGAACACTGCTGCAGCACTGACCACACCGTCCTCACAGGAGAGAACTACAAGACGGAGGGCTATGTGGTGACACCAAACACCATGGCTCTGCTGAAGCAGCATCTGGCAGTCACGGGTGGGCAGGTGAGGTCGGGTCTCCGAGCACAGCAACTCCCTTGTGGGTAACATCGTTGTGTAAGGCTGCAGTGGGTGCTGGGGAGGCACAAGGTATGAAGGTTGTGACAGTGCCTTCTCTTTTCCCCAGGTGCGGACACGGTTCCCTCCTGAGCCCAATGGCATCCTGCACATTGGCCATGCCAAGGCCATCAACTTCAACTTTGGTTACGCCAAGGTGGGCGCAGCCTGCTCCCATCTCCCCGCATCCTCTGGTTGTGTCCAGGCCCTGTGAGGAGCAGCTGCTTACTCTCCTTACTTTCCCAGGCGAATGGGGGAATCTGCTTTCTGCGCTATGACGACACCAACCCTGAGAAGGAGGAGGAGAAGTACTTTACAGCCATCCGAGAGATGGTGGAGTGGCTTGGTAGGGCTTGTACTGGGGAGAGCGGGATGGGGCTGGGTTGCTGATGGGAACATTCCTGCATGTAGCTCCTGCTGCCAAGCCCTAGTGCTGGCTCAAACCTGTCTACCCCCAGGCTACCAGCCCTATGCTGTGACCCACGCCTCAGACTACTTTGACCAGCTCTACGCCTGGGCTCTGGAGCTCATCCGCAGGTGAGTGTGCTGCAGCGGTGCCCAGAGATGGCTGCCCTTTGTCCGGGGATGGGCTGCTTATGTCCACTTGGCCATGTGTCCTCTCTGCAGGGGACAGGCCTATGTTTGCCATCAGAAGGTTGAAGAGATCAAGGGCCACAACCCACCACCATCACCGTGGCGGGACCGGCCTGTGGAGGAGTCACTAGTGCTCTTTGAGGTACTCTCAGCCAGGGACTGTGTGCCTATGGGGTGCAGGGCCCAGCTGATGGCCTTTGCCTGCCCTGCAGGACATGCGAAAGGGAAAGTTTGGGGAGGGGGAGGCCACGCTGCGAATGAAGCTGGTGATGGAGGATGGGAAGATGGACCCCGTTGCCTACCGTGTCAAGTTCACTCCGCACCACCGCACTGGGGACAAGTGGTATGGAGAGCTCACAGCGTCCCACATGATGTGTCAGGGACGGGTCTGTGTGTGCTTGGAGCAGGGGGGGTCTTGGGAGAGGAATGGAGAGGCTGGGGCAAAGTTCACACGCCCTGTAGGTGCATCTACCCGACGTATGACTACACACATTGCCTCTGCGACTCCATCGAGCACATCACGCACTCCCTCTGCACCAAGGAGTTCCAGGCCAGGTGAGCACCATGCACAGCCCTGAGCAGGGGTCACCATGTCCTTGTGGCTGAGCTGGGCTGTGCTTCTTCGCAGGCGCTCCTCCTACTTCTGGCTGTGCAATGCGCTGGACGTGTACTGCCCTGTGCAGTGGGAATATGGCCGTCTCAACCTGCTCTACACCGTTGTCTCCAAGAGGAAGATCATCCGCCTGGTGGAGACTGGGGCTGTGCGGTAGGGGTGGACCAGCAGACAGAGTGGCTGTCGCTCAGGGCATGCTGGATTGTCACAGCAGTATCTTCTCAGGGACTGGGATGACCCGCGGCTCTTCACGCTGACTGCCCTGCGCCGGCGAGGCTTCCCTCCTGAGGCCATCAATAACTTCTGTGCACGGGTAGGCACTACAGGATGAGGCGTGTGGAAGTGTTCCCCTAGCCAGCAGGGTGACAGCAGTGCATTCCATCCCACAGGTTGGTGTGACAGTGGCCCAGGCGACGATGGAACCGCACTTGCTGGAGGCGTGCGTGAGGGATGTGCTGAATGAGCAGGCCCCCCGCGCCATGGCTGTGCTGGAGCCCCTCAAGGTCACCATCACCAACTTCCCGGCCCCCCAGGTGAGGCTGCTGTGGTCTGGGCTGGGTGCAGCGGTCCTGGGGCAGCGTTCACCCTCTCTTGTCCCCCAGACAATCGATGTCCTCGTGCCCAACTTTCCTGCTGATGAGAGCCGGGGCTTCCACAAAGTGCCCTTCCAGTCTGTTGTCTACATCGAGGAGACCGACTTCAAGGAGGTGAGTTGGGCACAGTGCCACTGAGCACAGCAGCAGAACGGGGAAGGGGACACAGTCATGGGGACTGAGCTGGAGGGGGGGATATGTGCTGCACCCCCTCCTGCAGCAGTGCATCCTCTCACAGGAGGCGGACAGGGGCTACAAGCGCCTGGCCCTCGGGCAGCCCGTGGGGCTGCGGCACACCGGCTACGTCATCGCTGTGCAGAATGTCATCAAGGTGCGTGGCCCTGAGCAGGGGGGCTGTGGGCCGGAGCTGCCCCCTGATGGCTCCTCTCCCCCCACCCCAGGATGCCCATGGGCGTGTCATTGAGCTGGAGGTGACCTGCACCAAGTCGGATGCAGCGGAGAAGCCCAAAGCCTTCATCCATTGGGTGTCAGAGCCACGGGTGTGCGAAGTGCGGCTGTATGAGCGGCTGTGAGTACCAGGGCAGCACGGCAGTGGTGTCACCTGGCCACTGTCACCCCACCACGGGGTGCTGCTGTCCCACAGCTCCTTTGGCTGAGTCTCATTACAGGTTTTTGCACAAAAATCCTGAGGACCCTTTGGAGGTGCCGGGTGGATTTCTGAGTGACCTCAACCCAGTGAGTGCCTACGGTGATTTGTTGCAGCCCTCATGTCCTCAGCACTGGCACAGAGAGGGGCTGAGGTGCTGACAGTGCTGTTCCCTCGCCCACCCCGCCCAGGACTCCCTCCACGTGGTGGACAATGCCCTGGTTGACAGCTCTGTCCTCGGGGCCCAGCCCTTTGATAAGTTCCAGTTCGAGCGCCTGGGCTACTTCTCAGTGGATCCTGACAGCACTGACAGCAAGGTGAGCCCTGGGGCAGGGGACAGCACACCAGGCCCCCTTGGGAGGCTGCAGTGCTCTGAGCCTTGCCTGTCCCCAGCTGGTGTTCAACCGGACTGTGATGCTGAAGGAGGACCCCGGCAAAGCCTGAGCCCTGCTGCCACGCTGCTGCCTGTGTGCCCTCAGCCAGGGGAAGGCTCCTGGGGGGGGCAGGATGGAGCCCAGCCCCACGCCCTCTCACCAAGAGCCGCAGCTGCCTTAGCACAGCCCCGCGGGGACGTGCCGGTGTCACCTCAATAAAGTGGAGCATCGCAGCCTGGTCCCTGTGTTCAGCCCTGGGGTCAATGGCAGGGGGGTGGGGGGGACACCTATCCCGTGGGCCGGCTGGTGTTGCGGCACGGTGTGCCGCTGCGTGGGGATACGGACTGCAGCGCCGACGGGAGGTGCGCGCTGGGGATGTGTACAAACAGTAGCCGCCGTCCCGCATTAAGGTGGACTCGAGTGGGGCGAGCTCTGCCCGGCCCTGGGCTAGAGGTCCCCGGGGAGCCCCCGCGGTCTCGGTTCGTCCCTTCGCGGCTCTGCATCCCCAGCCCCCTCGGGGCTGGCCGTAGGGTGTGGGAGTCTCTGCCCGTCCCCGTGGGCCACCTTAAGCAGCCGTGGGGCCGCACCGCGCACACGGGCGCCTTAAAGCAGCCTCAGGCCGCGTTCTCCTCCCGATCCCGGCGCGGAAACAGCGGGGCTGGGACAGCCGCACGGCCCGCGGCCGGCACCGACACCCGCCCGTGGGCGCCCCGTGGGTTGGAGCCTGCCTGCAGCCTCGCGGGTCGGCCAGCAGCCCCGTGGTCTGACCCGGCCAGACAGCAGGCGCTGCATCCCCAGCCCAGCAATGCCGCCAGCCGCGGTGCCGGAGCCGCCCCGGCCGCAACCCACGCGCGTCCCGGCTCCGAGCGCGCCCCTCCCGCCCCACAGCGCGCCCCCCGCCGGCCGCCCCCACCTCTGGAGCGCGGCCCCTTTAAGGCGAGGGGCGGGCCCGAGCGCCGAGTTCTCGCGGGAGTTGGGGGCCGCGCTCTCGCGAGGCCGAGATAGCGCGCTGATTGGCTGCGGGGGGTTGAATGTAAGATGGCGCCCAGGGAGCTGTGAGGGGAAAAGACTCGGGGCCGAGGCGGCGGCGGCGCGAGTCGGCGGCGGCAGCGGGGCCGGGGTGAGGCGGGGCCGGGCCGCGGCGCGGCGCAGCGGGGCCGTCGGGCCGGGGAGAGCGGGGGGGAGCGACGCGAGGCGGGAGACGGCGGGGCCGGGCGGGGCCTACCGTCGTGCGCAGGGGGGGAGGCGGCGGCGGCGGTTCCGGGGGCGGCGCGGGCCCGGCGGGGAGGGGGAAGGGAGGGGCGGCCCCGCCCGGCGGGAGCGCGCGCGGCTTCACCGTGCCCGCGCGGGGCGCGCCCCCCTCCGCGCCCCCCCTTCCCTCCGCCTCGCTCGGGCGGCGGCAGTGCGCACCGGAAGGCTGCGGCCTCCGCCTTCCCACCGAGCCCAAACGTGGCTCCTGCGGCGGGGCGGCGGCGGGGGCTGCCCGGGGCCCGCGGGGAACAAAGGAGGGCCCCGGCGCCCCGCCGCAGGTGGAGGGAGGCCGGGCCGGCGGTGGGGCCGGGCGCGGTGACGGGGCGGTTTGTGCCGAGGGACCTCTGGGCTCCGTCAGTGCTGTTGCCGCTGCTGCCTTGTGCTGCTGCCTTGTTCTCAGCTCTGCCTTCCCACCGTGACGGGTGCGGAGGGAGGGGTCCCATCGCCGCCTTCCCCGGAGCCCGGCGATCTCTTCCCGTTCATATTGAGGCAAATCCTATTGAACGTAAAATGGTTTTAATAAAGAAAAAAAGGAACCGGGGATGGAAAGGGCTTCTTTGTTCTGTCTTCTCCAGAACGTTACAAGTCTAAGAGCTCAGGACAAGAGCAGCAGAAATACATGCACCATGGTGACTGGTGAGTCCAGATCGTCCACATGCTGCGAGTCGTGTGTGTGTTCTCAGTAACCTCGGGCTGAGTTTACGAACTAACTGTGTGTGCTTGCGGTCCTCAGAGGGTTTTGTGCCCTCATTTCCTGGAAGACGGGGTCGTACTGAGCAGGGAGGGCTTACATCCACTTAGCGAAGGAAGCGTTCTGCCTGGGTGCTCTTTTGGCTTAAAAATGTGCTGCTGAGGCCTAAGAAGGAGTTTGCTGTTTCTAACATGTGTCTAATGGTTCAAGGGATCATATCTTGGTGAAAGTGGCAGCTGCAGCAGTGAGCTATGTGCTGCAGAACCTCGGCCTGTTGAATGCACTGAAAGGTTTCTGTCTGTTCAGAAACATGGGTGAGTTTAGTTGTAACAGCTGTGGTTTCTGTGGTTAGTGTTACTTTCCTGAATCTTTGCCTAACTCTGGTACCTGTGCTGCTGTGTGTAGCTGTGAAGCACAGCCTGAGCCGTTCAGTGCTCTTAAATATATTTAACCAAGCAGCCTTCAGGTAGATGGGAACGATCTGATTCTGAGAGATCCCAAGCTGTTGTGTTACCTGTGGTGCCTTCGGCTCTTTTCTTTTGGCTGGAGTTTAAAGGAAGGTCCTGTTGTTGTCTGGGAGAAGGAACGATGCTCTCAGTACCACGTGGCACAGCAGGGTTCTGCTCCATGCTTGGGACTTCACATGTTGCAGAGGCTCACAGAAGCAGCTTGGTGCTTTATGTGTTAGTGGCTCTTGCTGTAGTAATTTTATGCCAATAACTACAAGGGTTTTTCTGTGCTAGGTGAGATGTTCCTTGTGGCAGGGGAAGATTCACAAGACCAGAATGGTAGGCTGACTGTGGTGCTGATTAGGATGGAGCAGCTGAGCAGGGTCAAGAATCTGTATGTAAGAAATTCATGTTATTTGTTCTGCTTTCTGGTGGTCAGAAGAGGTAGGTAGTGATTTGGTGGTGGATCTCCTGCTGATCTTTGAGACTGCTGCTTCTGTAACTGGGTTTCTGTAGCTTCTGGCCTCTGCTGTGGAGGAGCATGATGTGTGTATGAGCAGCTCTTAGGAGAAGGGTTGGAGTTCCAAAAGCAGTGTATGAGCCCTAATGGGGTGTAGTTTCATGACGTAACTTTATGTTTGGGGTAATGGATAACTACTGACATCCCTCGACAAAATTAACAGAAAGTAAATAATCTCCTAAGACACAATTGATTCCCTGAGCCCTTTCAGCATAACAAGTGCCAGTGCAGCAGTAAGGAAGGGCTTTGCCAGGGGCTGAGCCCTCCCAGCTCTGCGACAGCTGGCTGTCACATCAACAGCACTAAAGTCAAAGAGCAGCTGTTAGTGTTTGCTGCTGGGCTCCTGGCGTGGCATCCTTGAGGCTTCCTTCCCAGAAGTCTCCCCTCTGCAGGCTGTGTCTGCTAATGCACCTCCAGGTGGCTGTGCACTGTGATTGTGCTGATCTAAAAGCTTCACCATGGTACTTAAGTAGAAAATGTGCAAGTTCTAAATAGAAACTTGAGACAAGTTAATAACTCAAAATGCATTTACCTGCTTGAGAGCATCTACCTGAGCTTCTTACAGTTAAGTGCAAGATGAATTGTGTGCTAAGTGTAGGTCCTGTCCACGTCCCTGAAGATGCATTAGTAACTTTAATCTCCCATTGGTGTCACCTTGGACATTCAGGTGACCAATGACTGTGATAGGGTTGATGGGGGGGAGAAAAAAGGAGCAAAGTATCAGCTGAGCCTCTTCAGTGGGAAAAGCTGAGCATCAAGCTTAGATGTGCTTAGCTTTTCCTTGAGTGGCTCCTGGAGGAAACCTTGCTGAGTCAGCAACTGAGTGAGTAGTTTTATTGGCTCTGTCATGCAGACCTGAGAACTTGTCAGAGCAGAGTCACTGACAGGTAGAAGAACTGTGTCTGTCCAGCTCTGCGCTCTGTGGGAGCTTCTGTGTGCTGATTTCTACAGAATTGTTGTATTTAGCAGGTGGGCACTGTTCTGCTTTGTATTGCTGAAGACTGATGCATGTTTTAAGTAGTAATTCCAGAAACTGTACATTCAGCAAGTTGCCTCGTGTTCCCTTACCTGTGATGTTCGTTCTTGCTCACGTGGGCCTGGTCAAACGTGCTAGCTGTGAACCTCCTCCATGTACACAACCCTGTGTGCTCAGAGTGCTGTCACGTAACGGTGAAGCGCGGTTAGAGAGCACCGTAGGGCTTGCTGGTAGTGGTGGGAGCTGGGCTCGGACTCGGCAGTGCGGTTACGCCACTGACAGCCTTGAACTTGCTGCCATCTTCACACGGTTGTTGCGGTCTTCTGTTCAGTCAGAAGCCTCTGTCCTGGTTCTGCTTGGTTAAAGCACTGTGAAATGTTGCAGAGCTCTGCTTTTTGTACTTCTGTTAAGGACTGCAGGCAGTATGTGCATACAGTGATGTTGTCCCTTTTTCTACTTCTCCACCACCAATCCCAGATCTCCTCTTCTAGTCTGAATGCTGTGCTGTTTCATGTCTTTTTGCAGCCATCTCAGCAGCTGGTGGTGTTAGAGCTCAGATCTATTTACCCTTTATTGGGACTAATGAGTACCTTAGAAACAAGCAGTATGCTCGCTGCTGAGACAATTTGTGGGCTCAAACAAGTTAAGTCAATAAGAGAAGAACGCTGCCAATGTGTACCCTAGAGCTTTCTAATGTTCTCAGGTGTAGTCATCTTTTGGTTTTTTTCCTCCTTGCGCTCGCTTTCCCAAATCATCTGGCTGCTTCTGTCTCTCTTCTGTCTTCACACATTTCTCGTTAACCTCTTCCTGTATTGAAAAGATGTCAGGAACCAGTGCTGCTGTTGGCTGCTTAATTTCCAGAGCCCTGCTTCTCTGTGTTGTAGTTCTATTTGAGGAATCTCCTGATTCCAACGCTCTCCTTTCACTTGCTGTGTTCAAATCGATAGGGCTGTTGCTAGTCCTAGTAGCAGAGGGATGAATGCTGCGTCTGCTGCTCTTCTGTTCTGCTTCCTAGAGTAGAGCTGCATGGCCTGACAGAGCACTGCTCAGTTCTCCCACCTCCATGCCTGTGAAGCAGGGCCATGTGTATTGATTTCTGAGCTTCTCTTGCTAGCGTTGCATGCTGCAAACGAATGAGATCTGTGATTTGATTTATGCTGTGATGAGATTTGCTTGGTGTGGGTGAAGTATAATTCTGGAAGGTGTTACATGGCAGTGAGCTCTTTAAAATAGGTGTCATGGTTGTACCTGGTGTCGTTCAGACTTCCCTGAATTGCTGAGGGTTAGTTTGAAAGGAGTGTAGCACTGCGAGGTGCCTCACAAAGCTGAAGCATCTGTCTCAGGGC